GAGACTTGATTGTCACTTTCTAGTGGAAATGAAATAAGTACTAATCAATCTTATCATAGCTTTTATCCCAATAAATTTATTCTACAAACTAGGCAAAAATATAAAATTTTCAAAAACTCTTATTGAAAATTTAAGAAATAAATCATTAGTACATCTAAATCTTTTTATATTCTTATGGAGAAAAAAAAATTTGGTTGATAAACGCGATGTTACTACTGTATATCGGTATAGAGATATTTACAGATACGGTAATTTAACAAACAATATACAGCAAGTTGTACCTTTTGAATGTTTCGTCAAGTTTTTAATGCTGGAATGTAATCACATTCATAAATCGAACAGATGAGAAATGTAAATTGCAATCACTGAACGTGTAAAATAAAATAAATTTGTGATGTCCCTCCCTCCTCCATAACAGTTTTGTATTTAGAAAATATGTTAGGATTAAGGCGTCATGTGAACGTGTAAAATAAATTTATGATCCTTTTAATTCAAATTTCTTGGTTATTAAAGAGTGAAAAAGTAAAATTACAGGTGAATGAACGTACAAGCTGGATTGATGCGTCATTTTTGTACAGTACCCAGGAACCATGGGTAGCTGCACTTCGTGCTTGGCATAATGGTTCGTTGTTGGAAGGACCTATGAAGGACTATCCACCTCTAAATGATCCTCGTATTCCGTTGATCAATCCTGCACCACCGCAGATACATCGATTGATGAATCCGGAACGCCTTTTTAGCAAGTTTTTCTAAATCTTCTCAAATGAAGGGCGTTATTCATATTATCAAGATGTTATGAACAGTCTATCATAAGTTGCTTAAAATAACTTCCGTTCAGTACGATGATTACACCATAAGTTTTTCACTTTTTTATTGCACTTACACGTTCCGATAACAGTTTTCTCAGAATTTATATTTAGTTAACATCCAGTTTGCAGACATTATAAAAAAGTGCGGTAAATCCTAAATTTGATAAATTTTCAAACTGAAACTAACACTTGCTTAAGGAATTTTTAAAGGATAAGAAAGTTCCAACAATTTTACTTCATTCAACAAACATTAACTTCATTACAAAACTCATTTGCAAATGATTTCCGAATAAATTAGAATAAATCATGCTCAGATGTAATTAATACTGGAACTTTGCATTTCGATTTGCAAAGTAATAAGTAATGACCGAACAACAAATATTTTGAATGAGATAATTAAAAAGACAGAGAAGAAACAATGTGAACTGAATTTATGGCTAGTTTCAGGAAGAAACATAGGCAATATTTTATGTTTCATTCTATATGGATATATGAAAAGGGTCATTGTAAGTAATGACAGATAACTACATTTGATTATTATTTCTTTTATCAGAATTTCAGTGCTGGGTGATCCTCGCATCAACGAAAATCCGGGTTTATTAAGCCTAGGTTTAATTTTATATCGATGGCATAATATACAAGCAAGGCGAATTCAAGAAGAACATCCATATTGGACTGATGAAGAAGTATTTCAGGTTAGGTTTCTTCTTCTTTTTTCGAAAATTTAAAGTTCAATGAAAAGTATGTTAAATTAAGGGGATTATAGGGTGCTCGTCGATGGGTGATCGCAACGCTGCAGAAAATAACTTTGTATGATTTTTTACCGATTATGTTAGCTGATGAAAAGGCAGTTCCACCTTACGAGAAGTACAAGCCTCTTGTACCACCTGGCATATCGCATGCTTTTGCCGCCGCTGCTTTCCGATATCCCCATACAATCGTAAGTAAATACGATACTTCTACAGAAATCCTGAGAAAACACATTGAAAGACATTTGTATATTTATTGCTATTAATTGAATCCTCTATTTTATCTCATATAAACCTAATTGATGAGTACAGGTACCGCCCGCTTTGTTACTTCGAAAACGAGCGAATGGCAAATGTGAATTTCGTGATGAAGTAGGCGGTTATCCAGCACTAAGATTATGTCAGAACTGGTGGAATGCTCAGGATATTGTGCAGGAATATTCGGTGGATGAGATAGTCCTTGGAATGGCATCGCAAATTGCCGAAGGCGAAGATATCATTGTTGTTGAAGACCTGAGAGGTATGTGATTGCTAAAATAGGTTGGTTCCAAAAAAAAAGATTGTCATAATAGAATCAAATACTGATTGATATCCATAATGATCGACGGACCATTTGGTAATTTATTTTATGATAGTATTTACATCGTTTGGATTTAAAAGAATTTTTAAAACACAAGCGCAGGATTCTGAATGTATTTTACATTGTTTAGATTTAAAATATTTCAAGCAATTGTAGATTTTATCTTTGGTCCAATGCATTTCACTCGTCTGGATGTCGTTTCCAGTTCCATTATGCGTGGCCGTGATAATGGTCTGCCACCGTACAACGAACTACGACAAAGTTACAATCTTCCGGTCAGAAACTGGGCAACAATTAATACTGTGATGTACAAGAAAAGACCCGAGGTATAATCCTACTCAATTTTTTTAATGAGAAAAACAGGGGAAAAGAAACAGATGCAGAGATTTCCATTCAGAATTACTCTTCCGTTAAGTTTTCAAGAACTGTTATTCTCTAAAAAAAAAAGTTCCAGTAGCTCAAGAAAAGTATAGCATCTGAAGGGCTCTTTGATCGAAGTGTTTTTTTTTTTTTCCCCATTCCCTTAATATGACATGAATCTTTGATGCTTTTTTTGAAAATCAAAATTTGAAGTTTTAATATTTTCTCAGATGTTTCATGAACTGGAAAAATTGTATGAAGGTAACATCTCAAAGCTTGATGCTTACGTTGGTGGAATGTTGGAAACAAATGATGAAGGCCCAGGAGAACTCTTCAGAGCAATCATTCTTAATCAGTTTTTAAGACTGCGTGATGGTGATCGATTTTGGTTCGAAAATACTTGGAACGGGTTTGCATCCATTTTGTATTTTTCAACTTATGGTTACATTGCGTAAATTAAATAATTTGGTACTTTTTTGCTTTTCTAAATTTAATTTAAAAATCAGAAGAATGCTAGGAAGTGAATGAGTTCTAGAACTGAGAAGTGCTGACTTCAGAATTTTAAGAATTCAAAAATTTAGAAAAGAAGTTGGATGATACTGGAGCTGCTTCCCTCTCTTAGACTACTATTGATTATCAAATTTCATTTCATAAAGCAACTGAAATATATGAAATCCCTTGACCGAATTTTCCTCGGTAATGATCTATAAATCCACTAGCATATCTCAGGATTTTCACTGAGGAGGAAATTGAGCAGATACGTTCAACAACGCTGCGTGATATTATTCGGGAAACAACATCTATCGATGAGCATGAACTGCAGGAGAATGTCAGTGTTCGCTCTTTCCAAGAGCATTTTTGTTCAGTTCTTCTAGTTTGTAATGTTCAAAGTATCTTCATTTTAGGAAGAGAGAGAGAGAGAGGAAAGAAAGAGAGGAGGAGGAGGAGAGAGAGAGAAAGAAAAGGAGAGGGAGGGAGAAAGGGGTTTGTTTGATTAAAAAATAATCCAAAACTTTGTTTCGCGCTAAATATTGATTCAGTTTTATTTATCCGTAATGATAGAGATTCGAAAATTATTTATATCTTGGGAATTTTACTTTTTTTTTCCAAAATTTACATAATTTAATTGTAAAGGTATTTCTTTGGCACTCCGGTGACCCATGCGGTCAACCGTTTCAAGTAAACAGCAGTGGTTTGGAACCATGTGTACCATTCATGCGTTTCGATCATTTCACCGGCAATGAAGTAACATTTATTTTTTCATGCATTGCGCTTGGCATCATTCCACTCAGTATGTTTACAATTTGCAAGCATTAATTATGTGAAGATTTTTTAGCAAAAAATATAAAGATTTTTGAGTTAAATATGAAATTTGATCTTCGATTCTTTTGCTATACGTTTGTACGATTGTTTGAGTAATGTTTTATCAGTACTTGAAAAGATAAATCCCAAAAGATAAGCCATTTCATTAAATACTTTTCATTTAAATATTTTAAATGTTTAAATATTCTATTAAACATTTTTTACATGATGTAATAAGGATAAAATTCCATCCTCATTCCATTCGGGAAGTGCGGGGAATCCTTCAAAATTTTGATTCGATAAATATTGATTTTAGTTTCCATCGGAATTGGATATATGCTGGTACAGAAGAGGAAGAAATTGGGGGGTAATATGGAGCCATGCCTTAAAAAACTCTTCTTAGAAAGTACCAATTCGGGTAATGCTAAAGCCGAACTTGCCAAAAAGAATAGTGAGAAAGAAAAATTGCATTTGTCTGGTTTGTACTTTTTATACTATCATTTCTTAGAATTGCATTAAATCATTAAGTATTCGAATATATAGCATTCAGAATGGCATGCTCATTTTGTTAATGAATTGTATCTCTCATTTCATTAATTAAATTGTAATGCACTTTAGATAGCCAACTGCAATCAAATAGTTAGAAAAAGTTGCAGCCATTGAATGGATTAGTAAAAATTACTGCCGATCGGTGATTCTAATTGTTGATATTACGCCACTGATTCGACTGGAAAAACCACGTGGTGGTCTACTGCGATGTCTCGATTTTAGTGACGTCAATTTCGTAAATGTTATCGTTTCTGATCTGAATAGTTCCACTTGTCCATTCGTTATGATATCCATCCCAAGACACTATGATTTGGTTTGTTTCTTTTCCTGTCCTTATATGCCAACAGTAGTTGTTGCAAAATCATTTTTTAAATTTCAATTGTCACATGATAGTTGGAAGCGAACTATTGTTTAGCATTCTGCGTCCTGAAACACGCATGCTCTTAGAAGCATAATCCTTCAGGATGCAAATAATTTACCGGCTGTTCAAAGAATTTTTCAATATCTCGGAAATTAACCGAAGCATTTCAGGTTGTTCGTTTGAACAACGAATGCCAGTGTGCTCAGTTCCTCTGTGTTCTTAGCAATGTTTTGAACCGGACCGATAAACAGTTGATCATTCGTCGGTGTCCGAATAGCTACATTGTCGAAACGGCTGAAACAAGTGAAAGACGGCAGGAGAAGTTGGATCATTTCTTCCGGGAAGCTTATGCGAAGGTAATGACATCATCACATGCCACATGATTGATAGTATTTAATATATGCTACCACTTGTCGAACAAACCCTTCGATTCATTTCGTCTATTAGATAAAATGAAGTGGAAAATTCGAAATAGTGGGGAAGAATATTACGTCAGAAGAAATAAAACAGAGATAAGTCAACACAAGTTTTCCTTGCACATTTATCTTCATTCAAATCAGCAGGTATTTTTTTTTCTATTGCTGTGAGGCTTCCGGATGTATTAGTAGTTTCAGGCATTCAACATGTTGCAACTATCAGGGAATATTAGCCAAGTATTGCACGGATCAGTCTTGGAAGAAGTCCTTGGCACTGAAGTTACTAAAGCAGAGATGGCTGATGCCCTGGGGATGCGTGAAAACGATTTATTTGTTGAGAGGATATTTGCTTGCATGGCAAAGGGAGATACGAATCACGTTACATTCCTCAAATTCCTGGATGTTGTTGTCCGATTTGTTCGAGGTACCAGAATTATTCTTTCTTTAAAATTCTTCTGAAAAGATGGTATTTTCACGAGAATCTCTACTGGCTTCCGAGATGAATTCTTTCTTATCAGAGAAAAAATGTGTAGCCGAAAGCTTCACTATGACTTCAAGAAAATGTTAAGTTTCCTCAATTCTAAAAAAGCTAACATTCAAAGAAGCAATTTTAGGATCTATTCGAGATAAGCTCAAACTCCTATTCGATATGTGCGATCGAGAAGGACAAGGAAGAGTGCACAAGAAGGAATTCTGTGATTTTGTTAAATCATTAAACGTAGCAGTTGGGGTGAAAATTGAAGAAGCCATGCAAGATGGAATAATTGATAGGGTGCTACAGCGATCTGGAATCAGCGTGGATTCCAAATTTTTGTCTTACAAAGATTTTGAAGCTATTTTCAATGATATAGATGACATACGACATCCGATTGGAATGCATATGCGTGGTGCCAAGTTAAAATTCAATCTGAATGAGTTCGTGTTACTATATTGTTGTAGATAGATTAAAATGAAAAAGATAAGAAGAAATTTTAAGTGAAGAAGATTGCAGAAGTCAGATAAATCCTTTTACATCTGTTGATGTGACACACAAATAAACTCCCTTTTCAAGGACAGAAAGTATGAATAGTTTTGCAATACAAAGCGAAGAGATTGGATGTGTTCATATCAGCTGGCATCTTTCCATCATATCATATTTGGAAACTTATCGACAGCACATTGTTATCATTTTCTTTTTCGCTACTATCAATCTGTTACTGTTCTTTGAAAGATTTTGGCGTAAGTTTATTCGTTTTTTAATTAATAAATTGAAGTGTTAGGCCATCATTTCACCTTTTTCTCTCAATTTTTCTTCATAAACATTTATGGAGTTTAGTAATTTGCAGATTATCGGTATGAAACAGAGCACCGTGATTTACGTCGTGTTATGGGTATGGGCATAGCAATTACGCGCGGTGCTGCAGCATCTTTATCTTTCTGTATGGGGCTCATTTTGATTACAGTTTGTAAGAATATTATTACGTTATTACGTGAAACGCCACTTCGCGAATACCTGCCTCTTGATTCAGCGATAGCATTTCATAAACTTGTAGCAATAGTAGCTGGATTCTGGGCTGCAGTACATACTGTTGGACATTGCATCAATTTCTATCACGTGGCAACGCAGAGTCAGGAAGGCCTACAATGCCTTTTCCAGGAAGCTGTTTTTGGGTAAACTCTTGAGCTACTTTATAATTATAGGATGTGAGACGATGCAGTTAATTCTGTCTTTCTGGAGTTGTAAAATCACAGATTTTGCTCAATTTTAAATTATTTCGAAATTTTTTGAAATGAAAAGTTTTCATAATAATGCAAAACTTGACGAGTTTTACAAACGCAGAGTCAGGAAGGCTTAGGATGCCTTTTCCAGGAAGCAGAATTCCTGCTATTCCAGTTAATTTCAGCTCAAATTTCTTGCCTTCAATCAGTTACTGGCTATACGGTACCACAACTGGAATAACAGGAATTCTACTGGTAGCTCTTATGAGTATCACTTATGTATTTTCAACACCAGCTATCATGAGAGAAGCATATCATGCTTTTAAAATCACTCATCTTCTGAATATCCTAATTTATGCAATCACTGTGCTTCATGGACTTCCAAAACTTTTGGATGTTAGTTTGGAATTCACATATTTTTTTAAGTGTAAAATTTTTCAAATAATTTTGCAGGAAATAAGAAAAGTTTTCTTTCACACTGTGACTACTCATTTTCTTTGCTTAATTTTACTTAAGGAGAAAACTATTCAACATAACTTAATCAGACGACGAGTTAAACGGTTGGTACTGTAGCCGTTTAATGTCTATTAAATGCTGGTAGTTTAGTTGATATTTAAATTTGTTTAGCTTGCAACTGTAATATTATCACGGAAAACATTGTAATAAATATTGAAGCGTTTCCCCGTAATTTACTTGCTTCTTCGTAAGACGTCGAAAAGTGATCCCCTTTACACTTCGATTTAACCTATAAAACATTTTTCAGTGTTTAGTAAATTTTAATTTCAGAGTCCCAAATTTCTGTATTATATAGCCGGTCCGATTGCTCTTTTTGCAATCGACCGTATTATTGGCATGCGACAACAATACAAAAGGTTACAAATTCTGAACGGTGCAATACTGCCCTCAGGTATACCTTATTTCAGAAAGTTTACATATTCAATTGACAAGAGGATGAATTGGGATTTTTCTTTTCATTGGTGATCGGCTATTCTTTATTCCGATTTTGCGAACTCTCCCGTTTTATTTTAGTGGTTGACGGGAAATAATCAAAAACAAGTACTAAGATGAAATTAGATTTAAACTTATTAGTCAATTAAATTTGAATTGTAAAACTTTTGAACAAGCAAATTTTAACGAACTGAAATGTAGGATCTATTCAACATCTGTTACAGTTACTATAATTAATCAATGAGTAAAACTGGAAAAGACTACTTAATTGATAAAGATCGGAGAAATAGATTTACACAGCAGAATACCGCGGACACCAATGATAATGACAGCATTTGCTGCATTCAATCAAATTTTAGAGTAAAATATGAAGTGATTAAGGTTTGAACGGTTTTCAGTGGCTTCGGATTGAAGTTTCAAAATTCCAGTAGGTTGGATAGGCGTACGATTCTATAATAAGGAAGATTTGACCGTTTTCGGGAGGTGGAACGTTTGGAAATTCGTCAAATCTCATTTGTGACATATTGTCTAACTTATGCATCGGGTGTTTTCCTTTATATGTAACTCTGAGATTGTTTGACATTTTAAGTTTCAAATTTTCTCAAGTAACTTGTTTTGCAGATATTATTTACATTCAGTTCAAGAGACCAAATTCATTCCGATTTCGTTCTGGTCAGTGGGTGCGTATCTCATGTCCGGCATTTTCATGTACATTTAATGAACTTCATGCTTTCTCCTTGGCCTCTGCACCGCAAGCATCAACGCTTGAATTGTATATCAAAGCGGTTGGTCCATGGACTTGGAATCTGCGGAACCAGATCGCGTACGCACATTCCAACGGGATACCCTACCCAGTGCTTCATTTACACGGACCATACGGGGATGGAAATCAAGTATGTTTTCTGTACAAGTAATTCTTGTTAAACACTATGGAATTTAATATGGAATAAAGTGAATTACTTCATTTAAGCATAAGTTCTGGCTATATATAAAGTAACGTGAAAATACAGGTAAAGTAATACAACGGCATGATACTGTTTCATTTTAGGATTGGCATAATTTCGAAGTTGCCGTGTTGATAGGTGGCGGTATTGGTGTAACTCCTTATGCCTCTATACTCACTGATCTTGTTATCGAAAAAATGTCTGGTCGATACACAAATATCAAATGTGAAAAGGCTTGTTTCTCCTTGAAATGTCTCTTGTGTGCTGTCAAAACCCTTACTTAAAAAAAATGAACAAATGAACATAAACTACTTTTTGCAAAGCACAAAGACGCTTTTATAATCCTAAAGTTTCTCAGAAAGCAATTCTTTGGAGAAAATTTTCCGATAACAGAAAGTCAGAAAGCATAACAAATGTGCTTGGTGTGCCATAATATCTATTTCTTTATTTTTCCAATTTAATGTAATAAAACATTGGTTATTTCTTTTACTGTGGTGAGTTATGATTCATCACAGGTAAAGATAATCTTCTTGCAATTTTAGAGACGTAATATTTTAGGTTTATTTCATTTGGGTATGCTCGACACATAAGAATTACGAGTGGTTCATCGAGGTTTTACATAGTGTAGAAGAACTGGACAAGGAAGATTTGCTGGAAACACATATTTTTGTCACACAATTCTTTCATAAGTTTGACCTTCGAACCACAATGCTTGTACGATATGCCATTCGTTTTTTCAATAGTTTTCGGAGTGGGAAAATATGAATTCCTTAATTTTAAAGTGTTACTTTCCACTGCTTACTATTATACTAATTTTGTTGCAGACGTTTAATTTCAGTACATTTGTGAGAAACACTTCCGAAGTGATAGCGGTGGTCGAAGTATGTTTACAGGTCTTAATGCCGTAAATCATTTCGGTCGTCCAAATTTCGAGGCGCTCTTCAAATTCATACAAAACAAACATAGAAACGTAAGCTTCAAATTCTATGATATATTCCATTGAAATTGGCCTGTCAACCGATTGGATAAAATGGATGGAATAATTAATGTTTGGGTATTTTCTTGTTATTTTAGGCATGAAAAACAGGGAGTGTTGAAGTATGCAAATCAGGGTCTATATAGATGATTTTTAACTTACATTTTTTTTTAGATCTAAACCTCAACTATATGATTTTTTATAGGTTCAAGAAGTTGGTGTATTCAGTTGCGGCCCGAATTCGATCAACAAAGAAATTCGAAAAGCATGCAGAGAAGTAAATAGGATTCGAAGTGCAGCATCATTTTCCCACCGATATGAAACATTCTGATAATATATTGAAATGAAGAAAGTCACTTGTCATGGAAGCAGTGATAATTTGCTCATGCTCGAAATTCAGTTTAGAAATGTAATTTCCTTTAACCCGAATCTATTGATGGTTATTTTTAATTAGCTTGTTTTAATGGGAGCGTTCATGCATACATTTCATCCATTACTCATTACTAGTTATTCCAAAGATTAACTCTTGTATATTTCGCACTTCTTGGCTACATCTTCCTAGAAGTTAGGATTATCCACCGTTCATTGCTGTACATCTATCAAAACGTAATATAGGTGCCCTAAGGTGGCTCAGAAAAGGACGGAAATCTCTCGGAGTGTTAAAGCAAATTATTCTGTATATAAACAAATGAACAAATTTGCATGCTCTTCGATCTCACTTTGTCTTTCACTGATCTGTCTAACTTCTCTGCCAAAATTTTGCAATCTTACTTGAGTAATTTACTGTTTATTTTTATTATTCCGTTCATCCATAAGCTCTGTTTTTTGATTTTTTGTAAGAAATTTATTCTAAGACTCTGAACTGCGACTCCGGGATCTTCCAGAGGACTATTCATGCCGAAAACTTCTGTTTACTTAGTCTTTATTATTGTTCTGAACCGCTAAAACTCATTTGCATATACTGATCAAATTAATTTGAAAAATAGAAGTGTACAAAACACCAGTTGTTCACTCATTTATTCGTTTCTTGATTTCATACAATTCTTTTGCTCAGATGCTCCTTTAACGGCACTACTTATCCTTGCTTATCTTTGTTCAAATGAGTTAGCAAAGGTGAATTTACTGGTGCTTTTTGGACATCCCAGAAAAAAGCAAATTTCCGATTAGTGGTAGTCTCTTGAAAAAAACGGGCAAAGTTCAAATCATGATAATGCTTAGATAAAATGTTCGTATAGCTGAACTATGAATTACTGCGTCGTTTTAATCAGCAGCTTTGAAGAATTCAGCGTTTTAATCATTAATCAGCGAGCTTTGAAAGATTATCAGCAAGGTCTAGCAGTAGGGTTTGATTATTTCTCTTCCTTTCTCTCCTCCATTGACTTGCCTTTTTCCTTTCCAATTTAATTCATCGAAATAAATGCTACTTCGTCAGATGAAATTATCGAAATTTCACTCAAAGGGAGAGAATTGTCCCTTATTCTTTATCGAGAAATTTTCTTACAATACATGAGAAATATTTGAAAAGTTCAATTGTTCCCTTCAAACTATTTTCTAGTACATATGAAAAAAAAAAGAAAATGAAAACAAATCGTCCAATCAAAGGATAAGTCTCAACAGATCGCAGTATGGAGGCTGCTCTACTGCTTACAACACCTTGACCAGTAATCAAGTCGTCTGCAAGTGATCTTGCGCCGCGGCATTGACCAGAGTAATCCATTTTAGTTTCCTAATCAAAGGAAAGCTGTACATTTCTGCTCTTTTCTCGCAACTTTTGTGATGACCTACGCAATGATATATGATTAGTCCAATTAGTTTGAGGTAGTTTTATAACATTGCTTCCAGCATCCCTGAAATATCTTTCGATGGGTGCTTTGAAATGTTGACATCCGGTGGAACTTTTCCATTCACTTTTCATTTTTTAAGTTGGTCAACATTTTTTAAAATTAAAAATTGTGGCAACAACACCCATGCCATAAGACAACTTTCACAATAATAAATTCAGTATGAAAAATGGGTTGCAAGCAAAAAGATGATTTGTAACATATCTATTCATTAGATTATGCTTATCGGTTCTTTAAGCGTATTGTATCCATTTGGATTGTGAATCCATTAACATCATGAGGTATTGTTGCTTAATATATTTATAGTAACTTCAACTAAAAGAATAAAATTTTATATCAAAAATAAAAGGCATCAAAGGCCATAATGAGATAGGGCTCTCGAAAACAATTGTGATGGTAATGAACACGAAGTTCAAAATTCAGAGCTTAGTTTGAGATTGTGAAAGGGTGACAGATCGGATATTATGTTATTTTGTATAAAATTGGTGATGTTATGGCTGATGTCATGAAACTGTATTCCTAACAAACGTCTGATACTATCCAGCATCTCACTCAAGTCTTTTTTCTAAATATCAAAAGCGATTTAAGGTATGAGAGTCTTAAAACTAGATAGTTTACGTTGGAGTCAGCCTTGTAGATCAAGTGGCAGACAGCACTACCTCGAAATTCCTTATTCATCAAATTAACACCAACAGTTCTGCAGATATGTTCGACGGAAAACTCTTTAATTTATTAATAACAGTTATCACTTAAATAAACTGGTTAAAGAACTGATAAAAAAGACACAAAAGTGCCACAGAATGGATAAGCAAGAAATCCGGACAAATGTTCAGAAGGTTTATCGGGCAAAACTTAAATCATGAGAGCGTGAAGAGCTTTTAAAGAAATCATGCCTTCTTTTTGGCAACGATGACCAGATGTCCTCTTTTGGTCAAAGTTGATGTCAGGGTCTTCGTATCAATATCCGACGGAAGCTTATAGGTACGACTAATTTCACGTTTAATTTCACCGTATTGGTCGGCACGTGATTCATGTCTGCAGTGAATGACCAGATTATCACCAGCAACTTTCACCTAGAATTTGAATCTTATGTGAGGATTGAACTAAATCTCTGCCCCCGAATAACACTTTATGGAAAAAGATATTCAAAGCTTCATCCCTAACTTCTCCTGTCAAAATTTTTCATACTAATAGCAACAAGTTGTAATTTGCGGAAGCTGTTCAAATAATTACTAAATAAATAGATAAATGAGTAAGCATGTAATATGTCTGCAAATAGATTTGAAGTTCGAGTAATGAAAATAGATATTTAAATAAGCTAAATGAAAAATTTCATTCTCGAATTTACTCTGAATTTAATTATTTATTTTCGTTACGTTCATATAAGGGATTAATCTAAATAATTTTGCTAAGAAGAGCCAAAATGTCAAGAGATTAAAGCGTGAGCAATTTTTTTTCTCCTCTCTCATTTGCGGTCATCCTGTTTTCTTCTTTCTGGACGTTTAACAGCTTTTAACTCTTTGAATCTCACTTTTCGATTTCTAAAGTTATCCAGATGCCAGTTCCTTCTCCGAAATGCTGGAACCATTGTTTTTGCTGATAATCGTTATGGATAAAATAAAGCATCAATTAATCATGAAATTATTTCTCCTAGATCGATCCTGAAGTAAAAATTACAGAGGAATTCAGTTAAACCTCGATTTCCTTCGGTGTGAAGAATGAAGCATCCAGACTGACTTCAAACTTATCATTCGTATTGGTCACTTTAATCACGTCATCGTTATGCTGCAAGGGCCAATCCCACTGCTCGGCACTCCAATTATGCGTTAGTTCCAATACCTTTTCTTCCATCTCTTAACTTCTGCAACCACTAAATACTCAAATATTGGGTAATTTTATTTAATGTTGGAGAACAGGATGAAACGTAAAAGAAAGACAAGAAATAAAATGACTTTAGAGAGATGCTGAAAGATTTTACGTACGTCGAAAGCACATTATCATTAGATACGTTAAGAATTATTGTCTAGTAATGGCATCGTTAAGCTTCTTATAGATTGCACACTAGAATGAATGGGATCTAACATGAAATTTATGAATAGAACTGTCATCGATGCAGTCCATCCTAACAAATATTTTAGTTAAGAAAAACAGGGTTGCTCTATCAATAGTCTTAGCAAATGTGACATAATGATAAAGGAGAAGTTCAGACTGTATGACTTCACATACTTAATGATGTTGAAATTATTGACATTATTTAATGATCTTAAAATCAGGACAGAGTGATTTTGTGTCTCTTTGAGGCCTCGTACGAAACCTGATGTGATATTAGAGGCAATGAGATACTACAACTTGGGTTTATCCTCAAAAATTAATTGGAAGTGTGCGTAAAGGAGACAAACGGTGATAGAAGTTGAAATATTATATGTCATATCGCAGTGATTAAGGGGATCTTTGGAAACTGATATTGCTATCAGGATTCAGAAAGTACCTCATAGAATTAGTAAAAATGTCACTTATATTGTCAACGCTACTCAGACAGTGATAAGAAGGTAGTCAAAACCAAATACAGCAAATATTTGCCCTCATTATACAGTATTAACAATTCATGATGAAAGGACAGAATACTCCCTGATACATCCCTTATTGTTATCTAAAATTTCTCACCTAAAAATGAATGAAGGAAAGAATCAATCGACAACTGATCCGATCAAACATGACGGATCAAATGGGAAGGCAAGCATACTTAGGAATAATGTTGAATGGTCTTTAACAATAACAAGAGATATTTTGAAAATGAAAATGAATTGACTGGAATGAAGGTGATGTCGTATATTTTGCAAGAAGTAAGATATTTCATTTGAAAGCAGAAATGGACCCATGTTTGGAAGGTAAATTGCATTGATGAGAGTGGGGGAAAAGGAATGGTAGAAGAAAGGAAGACCATAGGTAAGGAAGAGCAAAATGCGCCTATAGCTCGATTTCAAGCTTCTTTTTACCATCTATCCATCCTTCAGTCTGTCCTAACTGTTTCTTCAGCGCTGTGTAATATTTTACCTCTCCTCCTGATTGGTTTCGTTTAACAATAATGTGATGGAACATTGGAGATACGTCAGATGTTGTCTTCCGTAAGAACGGCAGAAGAAGAGAGTGGTAGGAGTGAGATTTAATTTGAGTCCAACATTTCTACTAAACGCTTAATCTACCTCTTGAACATACTTTTTTCCTTGTAGCTCTCTGCGCTGTTGGATAGCTTTAGCAAACAGCAATTACCTTAGTTTTTATCTTCTCCTTCTCCATCCTTTTTTTCCTTTCATACAGTCTTGAATTTTCAGCAATGATGTATCATTTATAACACACACGTTTATAACACTACCGTTTATAACATCAGTACTATCAGTTCGGGTCAAGTGAAAAGCCATTTCCAGAATTCTATTTTTGTTATTTAGTTACCGAGCATTTTTCCTGTAAGTAACTTCATGTCCATGATAGGCTTTAACGCTCCTCCCAACCATGCGTTTTATTACTCAAATTCTTCCATCTTCAACGAGATTTTTCAGTGAAATTCTTCGACACTCATTAGCCTTCTTCCTTTGCGACATACTAATTGTGAAGCAAAAAAAGGCTATCAGATGTTGTCAGTGACTTTTACCTGTCCATAACTCGCGAAATACTCAATTAAGCAATCTAACTTCAGCTCTAGCGAAATCTGTTGCATATGAAACTATTTAAATTGTTGCAAGCGCCAAAGTCATGTCCTACCAATTCTACACATCCCACTTCAGTCAATTCAGAACTTAGTTCACTGATACAAAACATGTCACTAAAAGAAAAAGCAAGCTAAATAATCAGACAACATTGAAATTAACAGTTCAAAAGTTAGTCTTAAAGACTAACGTATTCCAAATCGTTCTCCAATTTGAGGCAGCTTTACGCAGCCTGTATTAGCAACTTATTGATATTTAATCTTTTGATATGACATCGGTGATACATCAAGTTACTGGAATCAGTAATCATCAAATTATTTCTTGAAAAAGAAACAACCAACAATGACAATAAAAACTATATATAAGAAACACAAATTTCTAATGTGGAGTGTTCACAGTCCTAATATTAACTCCAGAATTGATGGATTGAATAATGATCATATCAAAGTAGACCTCCACGTATAGAGAGGATACAGGAGAATACATTCGAAATTAAAGAGCAAATTTAACAGAAATGAAAATACAATCAATAAGTGCAAATTGAAAAGAATGCTGCTCTAAATGAATTTTATTAAGAAAAATATCCCGAAAAATATAAACCCTTTCACTGTTCGAAGACGGAATGAGTTAAAAACAGGGAATAAGTTATGCCATCTTCTGGTAAGTCCTTTTAGGACGCTGAAATTTTCTACAAGAATTACAGAAATTGGAGAAGAATCAAAAATTGATTAGAATTAAAGGCTTAATAAATGGCAAGGACTTTTTACAAAGCATCAAAAGCAGCAAAATTAACAGTAAAAAACGAGATAGAAGAGTCATCATATCAAAAAGTCAAGAAAATGCTTAGTATACCCGGAAGAACTATCCCATTTCTCATGCAACTCAGGAACCTTATTTCAAAAGGCTTCTGAATATAAAATATGAAAGTGAAGTTGTCACAATAATTAACGTGAGCCCAAAGATAGTTCCATATTAATTCTACAGTTCAGTTTTGCTCCGAAATGCAACAGAGGCATGCCTTTTCATAAAATCGGTGAGGTCATTCAAGTCACGATTTCCTTCATATTTGATCGGTTCTTTCTTCTTACCAGCTGGTGCAAAATAGATTGTTGGAAAACCACTTATACCATAATTTTTCGGAATATCATTGACTGTTGCATCGATTTTTACAAGCAGCAAATTTGGTTCGCTTTTTAATTTCATTGCCAACTCCTTGTATTTTGGCTCGAATGCCTAAAACTTGAACGCATTAGAACAGAATTTGCTTTAAATTTCTGTTGTTGTACCACCTCGAAAATTAATCAGATTTAACGTATCATGAATATTCAATTTTTCACTTCCAGATTCTTACCAAGGACTGTAACTCAGTAGTTTGTTTCTCAAAATGGAAATTAAAACTTAAAAAATTGTGGGCTTACCTTGCAATGCCCGCACCACGGTGCATAAAACTCCACCAGTACATCTTTCGTTTCATCAAATACAACCTGAGCGAAATTTGATGCAGCCACAGTTTTTACCGGACCCTTGTCATCCTTTGGCAATGGTGCAGACTTCACAAACGGTTTTATTTTACCTTCAAAAAAATTGATAATAGAATTTAAAAAAAATGATCCAGCACCCAAATGACATCATTCTCCATCAAAGAATAACGTATGGATAAATTATCTGTGAACAGTTAATTCCCAGAATTTTTATACCTGAAGACAGTTTTTTCATGAAAGCCGGAAGATTCTCAGCTAATTCATTATCGAATTCATTAGGACGCATCGGGTACTTTTTACCATCATAACCGAAGACTAAAACGTTATGCTCTAGTCCACTGTCATCTAGTCCTACCTAAAATATACAAAGCCAAATTCACAACGAGTTTTTATCCACAAATTGCACGAGTTTTTGAATCATTTAAGCAAGATGCTACAAAGACGCAAATGTAAGATCACTAAAACCGTCATTTTTTTCACGATCTCAGAAGAAGGTAATAATGAACTGAAATATATAAAAATGATAAACCAACCGCTGCGAGCTCATCTGCAAACTCGTCTTCGTCTGAAACTGCAAAATGATACTTATCCTTCCTGTACTGACTTGCGATTTCTAACACCTAAAAAGTGCAATTCAAAAAATAGCATCCAACATATCCAACATTTAATAGAAAATACAACAAAAAAATTTCCCCATCCTAAGACGTCCAATTATGGAAGAAATAACTGATTACCACAATAAAGAACATCGCAATCCAAAAAACCTACAGTGAAAAAGTACGAAATGCCTCCTTAAGTATTTGTTGTTATTAATGAAACAAAAGAACAATATCTTGGACTTAAAAAAAGCAAGTGTTAAAAAACTTATGTCAAAAAACCTTAGAAACCTACAAAAAAGTGTTAGACTCAGAAAATGGCATAGTATTTCAAACCTGTTCATTATCAAACGATATTAGCAATACTGTGGATTACGATATATTTAAAAAAGACGAAAAACTTATCAAATTTGAACCTTCAACGTCCGACAATCACGAGGGAAATAATTTCTTAAATTTAGTGCCAAAAATCAAAATGTTTAACCAATATTCAAGAAATGTAAAATTTAATGGATGAATAATTCAACCTTTTTTCGCCAATATTGCGTTCCTTCGCGATATTCTAATGAGAAATCAACATTATAATAGATTACAACGAGAGGGAATTTAGTGTATCTAGTCGCAACATTTTTTTTGGTTCTATGGCCTACAAGAGGAGTCGAATTTTCTTGAAGGAATGTTACCAAATCTTCCACAGTACCGACTTCCTGGAAAATACCTGAACTGTGATTATATGCTAAGTATTTTGATGAATAATTCTATCAAGCTTGTATGAAAATTAATATCACTGATAAAATATTTAAATAATAGGGATCGGAGAAAGGAATTTCCCAGTAAGAAATCGATTTCCTAGGTAAACAATCACTTCTGCAATAACTAAAAACATATGCCTTTCCGTAAGCGATTCGCTTCGGTTCGTATTTGCTCCAGTATATTTCAGGGAAAAACATGACAATTCGATCAGAATCAATTTGAAAATGTTTTTTAACGTCTACTTCCAAACAAACAGCAATGTTGAAATCATTTCGCATCATTTCAGCTAAAAAGAAAGGAAATCTCCAGGAAGCTACTTGAACTGCGAAATCTTGCTCTGAATTAAACATCAGAATAATTAAAAATCAGTAGTGAAAACGACGTATTCATATAATCAATATATTTTACTACTCAGAGATTCTAGAAATCATAATTTCCATAAAAATTTCTATGGAAACTGTAGGAGGAAGATCCACTACTGCAGAGAAAACTCACTACCACCTTTATCCTTCAATGGATGTAGTTAGTGATACGAGTAATCGAGAATAACAAAGGCAAAATAAGGTCCTCCACCAGTCTTAAGAATCTGACCTGCATTACTTAAAGAATCCAATAATTCTGTCTTGTCATCACTGAAAAAACCAATGACTGTTACATCGTCTTTGCGCATAAAATGCTGAGCCTCCTTCACACTGGTAATTTTCCTTAAAGCAGGTTCAGCTTGTTCAAGCATGTATTTTACAATACCTAAAATGAGGTTATGACTTTTGAAAAACCATTATAATTCATTGCATATAAGTATGATACAACAAAAGAAATATTACTATGTTAATTCCTCAGCAGAAAATATACCTTCTGCATCACGAGGTCCTTTGTAATCAAACTTCTTTCCATTTCGGAAGATATACAAAGTTGGGTAACCAGTTATATCAAATTCCGCCGATAAATTTTTCTCAGTTGTAGAATCCACTTCTGCAAGCATTATATCTGTACCCTGAAAAAAAAAATGAAATACTCCTTTGCTTTGCAGATTTTTCACTCAATCCACTTTGTGGTTTAGAACCAAGGAATTTTCCAACTGCATCCTTTTGAAGTTTGTTGAACAAATGACTAGTTCAAACATACCTTAAGTTTTTTGGCAGCTTTTTCATATTCAGGTGCGAGTTTCTTACAATGGCCACACCATGGTGCATAGAATTTAATTAATACGAGTCGATGTAAGGTGATAAATTCACTAAATACTTCTTTCGTTAGCTTCGCTACTGCTGACGAAGGCGATTCATAAGTGGGATCTGTTTTCTCCGAAACCCACTGTACAATCTCTGAAAACAATTGGAGTCATTTCAAAATTAATTATGAAGAAATTTGAAACTTCTCACTAACAAAGCTAACAAAGCTCACTAACAAAGCCGTTTCAAATGTTATGAAAAGCGTCACAGTATAAATTTCAAAATGTTTACGACCATCAGATTCTCGTCCACCGTTATAATCGATTGGATCTTTGCCACTTCGCCAAAGTTTTAATGTTGGAAATCCTTTGATGTTGTAACTGAAATAACGTTACACATTTAGGAATTTATTTTGATGCCTTAGTTTGAAACTTTGGAATTTGAATTAAAACGTTTTATTTCTATGTTTTTTGTATTTATATGGTGTGTCTGCTGAAAGCACTACTTATCACTGTTGATAGAACACAGGTTCTCCATTGCTGTGAAACATATATTTAGAATATGAAGTCTATGATGTTTTGGGCAACCGCACCAAACCGATAATGAATACCTGACTATGCTACGCAGATAGTTTTTAAAAATGAAAATAACAGTTTCGAACATAAAAATAAAATTTTATTCTACGTTTCTGCAAGTTTTGTTTCAACGACAGCGTCCACTTTAGCCAATGGTACCTTCAATTTTTTCGCCGCCTTTGCATACTCCGGCGCTAATGCCTTACAGTGATCACACCTGTAAGAAAACAAAATCTTGAGAATCATTTTCCAGAAGTGAAAGTTCATAAGAGATAGAATGTTGCAATAACTTATGTAACGATTTATCCTGTACGGCACACAATAAGCAATCACCTATAAGGCAGTCCTAACAAAGTAAGAGAAAAGCAATATTTTACCAGGGAGCGTAAAATTTAACTAATGATGTTGGATTTTGCTGAAGGAATGATATGAAATTTTTTTCGTTCAGTACAAAAACACCATCATCCTGTTCAAATTCGTTTTTTTTCTTCCGCAAATATACACCCAAAGAGATATATCAGGATTAGTATTAGCTTTAACAGCATACCTATAATAGCAAACAGTGTATCTCTGAATCACTGGAAGCATTCAAATAACGAACAAACGCAACTACCATTTCATTACTTCTTTTAATCAAGTACTTGATTATTATAAAATTATCAAAGTGTGCTTCGTGTCTAACTTCCAGTGCTTCACTTCAACTTTAATCAAAAGTTCTGCAGTTCACTTCATCGTCGATCGCTGTCAATTTACCTTATTCTATGCGTAGCACTAAACATGCCACCACCGAAAAGTATCGAAATAATCATACGAAACATCTGCTCGTAACGGAAAAAAAAAGAATTGAAAGGTGACACTTTTTTTCTGATACTGTGATCTTCTGCGAGATGGAATAAATATCTGCTATAATTAATGAAAATGTTTAAAAAGACTCGACTTAAGCCAAATAGTACCGAACTGGGTAGATTTAGCAGAAATTCTCAAGAAAAAAGATTATGAACTAGAAATGAAAGCACGAAAGCTCCTCGACAGTTACATCGGCACCTCCGCGATGACCCTTCCATCTGGCTGACCCGTCTACACTCTCTTCATCTTAAACCTTACTGTCACAATATCACATTAGTTATTTTTACGGAACATTCTACACATAGAGAGAATGATACAGAGAGTGCAGCAAAGGAAGAGGCAACAGAGACTGGTAGGATTCACGAGATAGTTTGAAGTCAAAATAAAGATGTGCTTAACGAGATATAATGACAGGTACTGCGCGGTTAAAGGACAGACAGTGATAGTATTCAGGAGATGCATTTACAAAAGATAAACAAAAATGATCAAATAATGTTATACGACAGCTGCGCCAAAAGTAGCGGCGAATTCCTGCAGATAACACGGATCATAAAATGGGAGAATAAGTAAGGTAGGGTAGATAAATCTTCTTCGAAACTGGTAGAATTGGGTTAAACAACTTCCTTATTGACTAGCAAGGTAGTTCGGAATTTAACTGAAATTTTTCCCGGAAAAAAAAATCACCACTCATTGTATTGAGTCAAGCGCAAAGAGAAAGCATGAAGGAAAGAGAGGAATAAAAAAATCCAACCTAAGACCAATTTCAATTTTGAAATTGTATTTTGTTTGTGCTTCGGGAGAGATGTTTCTGTATGGAACATTTAGAGCAATCCGGTATACCAGCAGTGGGTAAACATTTTCCGGAAATTTCTTTATATAATTTTAAAAGAAAAATGATAAATTCGAGGAAAAAGAAGGAACAAAAGGAACTTGAAAAACGCATTGCGGATGACAATACCGCTTATTTCGCTGTGCCAGCAACGGATCAGCACTATGTAAACAATTTAACATTACGTGTGTCGGAAGAACAAAATCAACAAGTATGATTTCAGCCTCGAACTTGAACCTGAACCTGTTCTGTGTTACAAGTGTTTTTGGATAAAGAATAAATGTTTGAAGTGGAAACAGAATAGTCGAAATTTTCTTCCAGTCCTTTTTCATATATAATGAGATGCTTCAGAAAGTGTTATTTTGTTTAGAGATAGCAGCAATTACGAGCGGTTGTCCACACTTTCTCTTCTTTGCATTTGCTGTTAGGAGTATTGGAACGGGAACTTCTTTGTTAATTTGAGAATTGACGTTTGAAAATTTTCAGCTGAACGTATGATCAGGAATCGGAAGCAGACGGGAGAATATGAAAAGAAAAGTGAAGAAAGGTGACGCTTGAAATAGTTCACGGAATAGACGTACATAATCTGTCATGACATCACTTCAACGATAGGTGATAAAAAAACAAAGAGAAAAAACTGCAAACAGCATAAGCACTCATTCGTTCCTGAACCTAAGTTAGCTTTTAATAATGGCTTAACTGAGGCATTTTTTGAAAACTGGCCAGAAAAGTGATCTTTGTGACTTGAAATTCTACTTGAATGTTTTTTTAATTTTCTTTATAAGTTTGACATGTTAGATCAACAATATCATCCAAATCAATTATACAACCAGCGATCAACCAAAATAAAGTCAGAAATATCGAATTGAGATAATTGACATAAACAAATACTTAAAACTAACTTATATTGATGCTAGTAACACTGACAATTCTTTCAATAACCTATTATGTTCCCATATTTTTAATCAAATCCTTATTCAACTTGAAAGGCCACAGCATCTACCTTATCATTTAATTATGCTTTCAGCTTTTGGCAGTTTTCAATAAACTGTGCCTTTTATTTTAATTTTTTCCTACAACCTAATTTTTTTGCATCACTTCATGAATAGGAAGAACAGGCCCGCAGGACGGCGATGCTGCAAATGCAAGGAGTTGAATGCATGGCGCATTAAGTTAAGGCAATGTGGACATTTCGTTTGCATTGCGTGCATTCTCGAACATCTCAAGGTGACTGTTTAATACTTTCCGAAGATATTATCATCAAATTATATAGCTAAGAGGTGGACTCGAATATCTTTGTGTTGCAAGTACCAGATTACTTGAAAACGAAGTGAATTTAGAAATTTAAATTAATAAACTTAAGCAACAAAGTTGAGGGAATATTTAGTAGCTAAAAAGAAGTCAAAACAACGTGTGTTACACTCGAGTCAAATTAAAACAAGTGAAATTTTACTAATCAAACTGAACTAAATTGCATCGAAACGAGCTAATGCATTTAACTTTTGATAATCTTTAAATGATCAAATTAAACAATTGTAATATTCCACAATGGTTATGAAGGAGCAAAAATGGATGCAAGCAATAGTGGTCCATAAAGGAAGACCTTAAGTGAGTCGAAATCAGCTTGATTATAAAAACTGAGCTTTTCATAAAAATTTCCTAGTATTGGATTGGGGAAGAAAACAAAGCACGAATTAAATGTGCAAAGAGGACATGTCCCAACCGTATTCATGAAAATGATATTGACGCCGTGCTTGATCCTGATAATGACGACTTGGAGATTTTTATGAAAAGAGCAAAACGCGAGTATTTATTGCATGAGCATCGAAAGCATAGCATCTATTATGCATTTGGAGGATTGATACAAAGGTGTCCACTTTGTAAGGTTAGAAATACTTTCCTTACTTACAAGCGCGGGAATAATATGGATGAAATAATTAATTCAAGTAAACTGAAGTTGTTATGAGTTCCAGATCAAAATTCGATGGAGAAACACGTGGCACGTTTTTATAATATGGAGCAAAGCAAAATTATTAGCATTTGAGTCGCATAAGAATTTTAAAGTTTTTAAGCATACTTTAACTTCGAGTAAAGAAGGGAAGAAGTTGCATAACTTCTTTCCTTTTCGATGAATTTATTTAAAAAAAAAAAGAAAAAAAAAAACGAACGCAGAGATCAGCAAATGAATTGTACTGGATAACTTCAGAATCAATATTTAAAGGCATGAGTGTTCGATCTATTGCTTAAAGATACGTTGTAGTACCCATTTGGGTGACTGTAGTGAAAACAGAAGGACAATGGTTATAGGCACTTTACACGGAATATGATGGTTGCAACTTTGTGCAATGCGTTAATATAAGATGTAAACAACAATTTTGTTGGGTATGTAATGAACCTACAGAATCACTGCAACATTTCGCTGGTACCTTTTTCTTCACTCTTTCAACGAAAGATAGATGAATCAGATAGGTTGCTGAAGATTTAGATATCGAAATTACAACATTTTAGCACCTACTTATTGTACACAATACCACCTGATCAGTTTTATACTCCTAGTCGTGCAACCTTGTACCGTGAGGTCCCTAAAAGTAGTCGTTAAATTATTTTTTTTATTGTTTAAAAAATCCATCCTGTCATTCTACCACCTCTCCTACCCACACATTGTAATGTCTCATGGATTTCGGACTGAAAAAAATCTTGCGATTAGGAAATAATTGAAAGATGGAAATCTGCAGGTGGAAGATGTAAACTTGGATGGGATGATTTATTCAAGATTTGTTTCATACTCAAATTTCTGGCATTCACCGAAGGATTTTTGCTCGTCATTTTTTTACCATTCGTTAGCACAACTTTAATAGTTAGTTTGTGACATTCCTTTCCAATATATTATTCTTTCATGCCCAGAACCTTCGCAGTACGTTGTGATGGCTTATTTATCCTTACTGAGATTCTATCTGATAAGTATCATCTATTCACTACATGCATATATTTACACTTGTTCCTCAAAAATCTCTTGAAGATACTTCATGAAAAATGCAGGGGACTTAGAAGTACTGATTATGAAAATGCTTTGATTAGCAAGAGTCAATCGATAATCCATACTCAAACATTTAACATTTTTCATTGAGAAACTTTTCCTGTTATAATACTATCCAATACAGCAACCTTTACAGTATTTTGGACCGTTATTAGTGTTGATCACACTGCCTTACCAAATAATTTTGTTGTTTCGAGAATGCATGCGTCGAATGGGTAAAACACCGTGGACAATTACTACCTTGGTAATGACATCACTCTATCTAACCAATCGATCTAAATTGCATTAGCCAAGATGTCATATACAGAAGTAAGCCGAAGTCGAACAGCAATTTACATTCTATTTGAGGCAGTACTGTTGTATCCGATCATGATGTTGGCAGCAGTACCTTTCGCTATAGGTTCATTGGTATTTTTAATACCCGTGTCAACTGCATACTGCATCATAGCGATCATCAAATGTATTCCTGCATTTTCAAGAGTAAGTAATGAGCTTCTATTTTCAAAGGATTAGTTGCTTATTTGCTTACACTATCCTATCAGTTATTTCCACATATTTGTTCAATAAAAGAATAAATGAATTCCTGGTAATCTTTTTTTTCAGGCTTGTGATGTCATTTACCTTATGTCAATGTTAGCTGGTTGTTTCGGCTTAGATCAATGGCGTATTATTTTGAGGGAAAATTATGAAGCCAATCGTCAACATGAAATAAAAATTGCGCAAGAAGAAGAAGAATTGAGCGAAAGTTCGTTTGTTTGTTTGTTTTTTTCTTTTAACGTAATAAACTAATCGTGCTTCACTCAGTTTTGAATTTCTGCCGTGACGATGGCAGAGGCTCCGTGAGCAGCTTTTTAGGGGACAAATTACCGACATGTTTGAGACACATGAAGATCTTTGTGAGTAATAGTAATGATCAATGTATGATCAAGCAATGATCAAGAAAATAATTGACCTGACAATATGCCTTGAGACTCATGTCAAAGTCAATCGTGTTGAGGAGCGGGTAGTTCACCGAGCTTGCAAAAATCTTTGAAAAAACTTCAGAAAAAGTACGACAGCACTGAAGAACCAATTTGCAATTGATAAAAATGATCGACTGATCACATTTGCTGATTTGAAGGTTGCTTAATTCTAACATCAAATTTTGTTTTCATCAAAAGAGTTCACTGCATCATTGTATTGCTGACGTTCAAAATTTACTCTATCTTACTAATACTAGTCATTTGGTTGTACTTTCAAAAACACAATTTAAAACTGAAGGTGTAATTTTTACACATCAAAGGGTAATCATATAGACAGCTTCTGTACATAGAAACACAAAAAATTTAAACACAAAAAAAATTTTTAAAATAATGCAGTCAAAGACATGCGGATGAATGTGCAAGACAATAATCTCAGTGGAAAAAAATAATGATAAAGGATCACACTGGATTTTAAAAGTCACATTTTGCGTAATCCTCAATTAGCTCATTAGTTTTGTTCATCTTAGCGAATGAATCTTGGATATAAGGCAGCATTCTGCGAACATCACCCATTACATCATATAAAAACGCATTTTCCTGTAAAACTTCCGGGTTGGAAAACAAGTCGGTGATGTAGAGTCGCAATAGACGGAAATATTGAAAATGTCGAGAAACCTGTTGAACGAAAAGTGAGACTCTTGTCCAGAGGTCTATTGCTTCTTGATTTGTTGGAAATATAACTTCCTAAACTAAATTTTCAAAAATATTAAGAATGCACTAAAAAACACATCTAAGCATACTTCGCCATAGCAAGAGGAAGGATAGGATTCCAGCATTGGTTCAGAATGTGACAGAATGCCATAAATCCTTTCGCCGAAATTTGTACCACAAACGAAAGGTCCACCAGAATCACCCTGAAAGGAATTCATGACTCCAACAAATGAATGGTTAGCAAAGGGAAAAATGAATATTTGTCATTGTCTATATTCTAACTTCGATAGCAGAATGGTGTTACTAATAAGGAATTCCTCCTTTTGTCAATTTCAATTCAATAATGAAGTTTCTACTTATTTCCATTAAATGACTTCAGTTGTATGATCCGGCATATTGGCATAGCAGCCCAAAGCCATCTATTGCGCAGCGAATGCATCAAGCCCTATTGAAAACATCCATGGAAAACGAACCGCACATTGGTAATCAGTCGGAGGTTAGATTTCTTATTTCGACATTTCTGTAAATTAATGTTGCGGTATCTAGTGAATATGTCAGATAAATCAT